AAAAAAAAAAAAAAACAACACACACAACGCAACAATAAACTGGGGAAAAAACTTATTAACATCCCCATACGTAAAGAACGTGTATGAGTCAATAAGGCAAAGTAAACAACCTAAAGGAAAAAGAATAAATTAACACGAACACACAGTTCAGACCTAAGAAAATACAAATGGCAAACTAAACTACAGGGTGGGGGACAAGTTCAGCTTCACTAGTTATCACAGAAAGGCAAATTAAGATTGAATACTCTTTTTTACCCATGAATGCTTGGCAAAAATGGAAGTCAAAAGACCCGGGTATGGGGAAACAGGCATTACTACATCAAGAGTAGTGTGCCCGTTTGGGAAGGTCATTTGGCAGTAGCTACTATCATTTAACATTTGCATTCACTCTAACTTAGCAATTTCACTTCCAAGGAAGACTTGCCCATCAGCACATAGAAGCAGATACAGTGTATTGCTTTTAGCAAACAACTGGAAACAACCTTAGCGTCCATTAATAGGGAAATGGTATAAATAATGGAAAGCTATGAAGCCATTAAAAAATAGGGGGATAGAGATTGATCTATATGCATGACATGGGAATAACTCCAAGAGAAAGCAAGCTGCAGAACAATACACCTGGTATGATCTTGTATTTGAAAAACAGAAAATAATCTAAAACCATGTGTATATAGTGTAGACACGGTTAAATTGTTAACCGTGGCTACATCCAGGGAAGGGACAGGGATGGAGCAGGTGACCACGAGAAACTACAGCATGACTTATACCGATTGAATGTTGTTTTTCTCCGTCGGATCATTTTATCCGAGAACATATCTGTGTCATGCATCTAACGAGAAAATAATGATGCAGCATTTAAGACGGTGCCTAGCATCCAGCAGGTGCTCAACAAATGCTCGTTCAAACTTTTTTTAAAAAAAAACTAGTGAAATATCTTGAAAGAGTTCAAAATGTAAATACAGAGGACCACGAAGCTCTCTGGTGCCCTGGCCAGGGTTTTAACATATCAGAAGGCAGTAAGTGGTGGAATTCTTCCTGGTGCCGGTTTTTGAAACTTGACTTTTGAAACTTGACGTAAGTATCCAAAACCAGGAAGCAGGAAAAGGAGCATTCCTGAGAGGAAAGGGGGGTGGGATTCACCAAACAACTAAAGAAAAAAAATTCAGGGTCTCACACCGAATGCAGCAGTAAGCAAAGGCCTCCCTCCAGAGCACACTTAGCCACACAGAACGGTCATCTTACCTGTTGTCTTTGCTGACGAGGTGGTGGACACCCCATTGAGCTCACTAGGACTCCTTTTGATGGGCCGTGGCTTATACTCTCGTCTGGGGACACTGGATGCAGCTGATATTCTGAAAAACACATTTTAAGATCAGTCAGACGTCAGATGAAGAAAGCCATGCTTCCAAATGTACGTTTGCACTGCTTGGGGAGCCTACGAACTTGGGGGAGAGGTGGTGGTTGTGAAGGGGGTAATTTTTACGCATTGGTTCGTGAGTAGCCCAAAGTGATGGGGGTGATATCCCTGGAGTAGTTTTTCGCTATATATTTGAAAGTGTGGGTCTCTCACAGAGTCTCTGAGGCCCCTGTCAGGTGCCAGGTTATACTGGGCACCCAGCAACGTTAGCTCCCTTTTCTCCCCTTCTGCTTATGCAGAGACAGAAATACACAAACGTGATCGTGTGAGCACTGCATGCATGCCCCCCCGCAAAGAAGTGGATGCTTCAGAGACCGGCCACACCTGAGAAATCTGCCATTGATTTAAGCAAACATCCCTCCAAACGTATTCACTATCATCATCCCATGTAAAACAATATTCGGTTACCAAACCTGGTCAAGAATGGGGTAGGTTTTTTTAACCCACTATATTAATTAATAGGGTTACTGGGCCTACTACGTGTGATATTACTAATTTTTAGAGAAATACAGAATACATCATCATTAAAACCTAAGGGGAACGGCCATCTTCCTTTGACCATTCAGAAGGTATTTTTGACTCTTTCAGTACCTCTCTGAGCCAGTATTACGAACGTGGCCTGCTATCTGCCTGGATATTTACATACTTTCCAGATATTTACATACTTTCTGCGTATCATCTCACACTTCTCCACATCCCTACACGCTGGCAAGGAGGTACATGCCATCGCCGCCCCGGCTTAAGCTCTCAAATCAGCAAGGAAGCCGGGACAGCTCTGTCGGGTGAGCAGCTCCGTCAGGTTGCCCTGAACACAGGTCACGGAAAAGGGCTTTCGTGAAACACAAAAGGAAAAAAGCCGCCAGATTGCTTTTCCCAGCTCTGTCCCTTTGGCCAGAGCCACGTACTTATTACTTCAGTGCTATCCCACACCCAACCATGAAAGCCAGCTAAGAAAATTCAAAACAGAATGGGGCGGCGGGAAGGGGCAGACGGAGGGACTGATTCAGATGAAGTTTACTCGGCAGCCCCGGGTTGGCAGGGCATGTGAAGGCTCTTACCGCATCTGCAGATTGCTCTGTAACTCCTGCAGGATCTCCGTGGACTGTTTGTGATAGTCTAAAGCTGCCTCTATAAACACGGCCAACTGGCTGACTTGTTCTACCTGCAGCAAAAGTGGGAAATTATGCCAAGGCCTATGTAACGTTCAGAGAGAGAGAGAGGCGGGACCAGCAACAAAGACCCAGCTTCGCGGGGAAGCCCCGCGTCGTCCTCGGCTCTGGTCCATTTCATTTCCTTAGGCTGTGTCATCATCACGCGGGTGGTGGTAGAAAGCTGTATATTCTGGAAAACCATGTTCAAATTTATTTGTGATTAAAATTTGGTTTAGCTCAATGGAAGCTGGTTTTCCCAATTAGATGACACCCTCAAGAGATTTTTGTGCTCTAAAGCTCACGGATCTGAACACAGAGACATAAAGCTTTCCAATGACATGGGAAGCCAACACTGAGTAAATGAACCTCTTCCTTAGTGAAATGTCTCTTCAGGCATCTTCTAGCTAAGTCAAATCAGGAAGCTAAGTAAATTAAGCTGTTCTCACATAAGAAAGGAAACCAGGGGAGGGTGGGCACCAGGGCAAACACTTGCCAGCTCCCTGTGTCTCGTTGCTGTCCGCACAAAATCGTGGCCATGAAACGTGACAGCCGAAAGGAATGAACTCTATAGCCTCTTGTATCTCTCGGTCCCCCGAATCGATGGAAAAACTAAAGTAGAAAAGCTCTATCACATAAAAAAGGCTGGAAGACCAGGGGATGCATGGATTGAGGAAGAGGCGTCCCCTGTGGGAGCTTCCCTGCTTCCCCCATGCGTCTGAACAGCTGCTCCAGAAAAGCGGGATTCATGACGCTGATGTTGGCAAGCCTCGGACGCAGGACCTCTGGGTTGAGGTGATAAGGACCCCTAGCAAGAGCCCCGTGACCTCCAGATCCGGAGAAGGTCACAAACCAAAATCAATCCCCCCTCTTCCAAAGCTTCCCCAAAGCCTATGCATCATTCCCACGTGCTAAGCAGCTTGAGGGCAGAGTCTGCCCTGCTTATTCACCCCGTAAAACCAACCACGGACTGGTCCACCTTCAAAGACCCAAGCTGCTTCCATTTGTTGCTACAGACCCTGCTTCGGCTACCCTACACTCGCTTTCCTTGCGCACACATCAACACGGCTCAGTACACACCTGAGAAACCCACAGCATCCCACTGGTGCCCCACTGTGCTCCGCATCCGAACAAGGAAATCCCGTTGTGTTACAGTCACTTTGCCGCGCTTGGGGCTGGAAGAGCACCAAGCCTAGCCTTAAATTTCCCAAAACCCAACGAACAAAACAAAGACAGCCTGGCCCCACAGAAATCCTAAGGATTTCTTAAATTTCACCTCTCTGGCTTTCACGTTTAAACAAGTCCAGTTTAACGGCCCAACTCGACCACAGCAGAATCTGCCGAAGCAGGAACTGTGCTCCCCAGCTGGGGGGAGCGGCGGGTCGGGTCCAATCTGAGCCACACCTCACTGCCTTCAGTAAAGTTAACTTCTATTTTAATCCCCACTTTGAGATATGTTTGACATTTCTCTTTTCAAAGGAGCAGTGAAAAAATGAGTATTCCTGGAAACATACGGGGGGCGGGGAGGGAGGGAGAGAGGGAAAGATCACCAGAGCTCCTGTCTGGTTGGCTCAGACAAGTTACGTAATCTAGAGATGCATCTGTCACTATTCGTTCGATGGCTGACTTTGGGAAGGAAATGAGTCCCAAGGCCCCTTGGGAGAGAACAGTGGGGCTGCATGGTGCTCAATGCAACCACTAGAGAGACGGCTCTGCAAAGTTCCTGCTGGCCGGGAAGCCACGTGGTGCCACAAGGGGCTTATGTGCCTCCCTGTGCCAGAAAACGGAGGCTTCCGCTTATCCCCGGGCCATAAGCAGCAAGGTGCGTGCGGGTGGTCTCTGCTTCCCAAACCCCAGGTAGGATTCAACACCTGGACAGGCAGAACCAAGGCAGCGATAAAGCCAGGCCTTGCAAGTACCTGTCCGGAAGGTAAAGCGTTTCTTCCACTGGCCACACCACTCAATCTGGCAAATCCACCTGTTGACTCGGGGAAGGTCACCTGGGATGAGAAGACAGGCGTAACTCTACTTAGGGCTGAGAACAACACTGCCCCTCTCTGGTGCCACCTTGGGAGTGAAGTGTGACCACGCATCACACACACAGAGCTCCTGGCTCAGAGTAAAGTGCACTCGCCGTCACGGTGGGTCGCTCCTGGCCAGGTGCCTGAAGCAAGAAACTCAGACTTCCCAGTAAGCTAGAGGAGAAGGAGGGAGGGTCCAGGTACGGGCCACGGTGCTGGCAGATGGTGGGGCGAGGACTAGGAAGCTACCCGGGGCAAAGGAACCAGAAAGAGCTTGTGGTGGAGAGGAAAATGGCCCCCAAAGATGCCCAAGCCCAACTCCCCAAATCTGTGCCTATGTCACCTTCCCGGGCAAAAGAGACTCTGTGGGTGTGATTGAGTTAAGGGTCTTGAACTAGAGGATGACCTGGGTTATCTGGGTGGCCCAGTGTCATCATAGGGTCCTAGAAGAGGGAGGCAGGAGGGTCAGAGTCAAAGAAGGAGGTACATCGGGGGGGCAGAGTAAGAGGGATGAAGATGCCTCATGCGGGCTTCACGGCCGACGCCACCCCACTCCGCGAGTCCTCGCTCCCTCCCCTGGGGCAAGACTCGGTGTGTCTCCGGGGTGTCCCCCGTGGGCACACTCTCCTTCAAAACCCTCTCGTTCGCTGCAAACCAATGGCTGATTATAAGCACATGAGGCCGTTGGGGGTACTGAGCCCTGGGGATGGAGGCAGAGCACCTACGTCCCCATACTACTGTGGACTACGAACACAAGAAGTCCCCGGGCTGTGGTCCCAGGGACACTTGAATTGGACCTGAGCCACTGGGGTGACCTGCAGACCAAGTGCAAAGGATCTGGACTGAACCCAAAGGAAGGATGGCTCCAAGGACTGCATCCTGTAGTAAGATCAGCCCTCTGCAGAAGGTTATAGAAACAAAGGCCAAATAGGAGCAGGGCTGTGAACTCTCCTCCTCAGACCCTTCAGTGACTAGTTACCACAGGACCGGTTAGCGGCCAGGTAAGTGGGCGGAGAGGCACACCCTGAAGACCACGGCACGAGGAGGGATGAGAGGGATGTCAGTAGGTACTAACGCCCTGCACCCAGATGCCTGGAATCTGCAGCGAGCCTGGCATGCAAGAACAAGGAAATGCACGTCTTCTGGAATGCGACAAGCCATCCCCTTTCACAGCTGAAAACGGCATATTTCCAATGGAGAGAGCATCTTCGATCTGACTTGTGGTTATCCAAGTGATCTCTTGCTCCATCATATCAAAGACGTCCACTCCTTCTGGACTCCCCGCAGAAGCTAGAGGAGTCTGATCTTAAGACGCCTTTGCTAATGGGGCGAGAGCTTTACTCAGAGTTTCTGAGAAAGTCTGAGCAAGGCAATGAACTCAGTAGCCTAGATAACAGCCCCTTATGCTTCCATTCTCCACTTCACATTCCCAAAGGGTTTCCTGACATGTGTAGGTCAAGGTGACTTTCCAGGGGCAAACAGCTGAGCAGAAGTGAAACCAGAATCAGATTTCAGGTGATTCGCTCCTTGTTGGGTGCACCTTCCTTCCGCAAGCCCAGTTTTTCCTAATGTACCTTGTGCCACGTGTCACCAGTCCCTTGAAATGACAGCAATAATAACGATGATGCGGAAGGTCAAACAGGTTTGAGAAACTCCCCGGTGTGCCCTGCCTTAGGAATCTCTCCGAGACCAATTTTTCACATTGTCATATAAAGACTCTGAAAAGTCTTGGGATCAAGAAAACCTGCCTAGTTTTGTCCACATGAGGGTTTGCCAAACTCATTTGAGCGTAGAAACATTATCAGTGCAACCTACTACAGCCCGTGGAATGAATTTAGGAAAATGCCACCCCGGACCAAAGGAAAGAACCCAGGAATCTGCAATCCAGTAACCCCACTTGTTGCAGGAGCCCACGGATGGAGGGAGGATCCCCAGGCAGGAGACGTGGACCAAGAGAGCTAGAGACAAGTGCAGGTGTCTGGCCTCATGGGCCTGGAATGGGGATATTCTAGGTGCTCTCTCTGGCTCCTGCAAAGTCAAAGACCTACATTCCATGATGTCACGGGGTGAGGAAAAGACTTCTCTGCAAAGACAGAAGAAGAGTGTTCACAGGCCATTCCCAAGAAATGGTGAAGGCGGGCAACCAACCTGCTCAATTTCCCGCACCCCTACCTCAGAGCAAATTGTGATGGGCACAGGGGCCCCTCTCCTAGGGGGAGCCCCGCCAGGCCTAACCCTCGGGGCTCCCAGGAAAGCTGGTGGACCAAAACACCTCCGGGCTTGCATCTGTGCACGGAATAATGAGCAACAGGTGAAGAGATGCCCAAGGTCTTCAATCCAGCCCCGACTGACAAGACAACCGAGGATTTCAGTGTGGGGCCAAAGGAGACTTCTCTTTGGTTCTCCCACTCACAACTCTGCCAAACTCAGACAGGAAAATAAACGCCAGTTTCCTTGGGAATGTCAGAGTGACCGATTTGGGTCCCTCACACCACCCCTTCCTTCTTTCCACATCACAGGTGCAGGGGTGCTCTGTCTGACCAAGGAAGTCAGGGGGCCCCCAACAACCAGGGTGTCTGCACCCAGCACTGAATAGGCGGTAAGTGGAGTCTGACTCTGAGGTCTGGATTCTTTAAGAATGTGGGTTCGCCAAGATCTGCCTTTCTGCTCTGCCCGCCTCACTCCCCCTATGGGTCCCAAGGTCTAGACTTCAGTCCCGGGGTAGGTAGCTAGAGTCCCATTGTGGGCCCAGGCCCAAGCTGCCCACACGGATTTCCAGAAAGTCCCATCCTCTGGGCAAGGGGCCGGTATGTGACCCTTGTTCGGCTGTCCCTGTTTGTTTCTCAGTTGGGAGAATTCAGATGTGAGGACAGATGAGCAACCACCCCCTGGAAAGCCCCACAAATGGCCCATTGGCCAGAAAATCCTAGGCAAGGGTTACATAATCTGCATTTGGAGATTCCAGAAAAACCAACTCTGTGCGTCCCAGTCGGGGCTCTCCTCAAACCAGGCAGATCTCTGGCGTTATCTGGCGAAGCTTTCCTTGTGTCTTAGCTGCGGCTACAAGATGTGAGGGCTGGACAAGACACCCACCCCCCTGTTCCCTGGAGAGTGAGACTCTGGGGTTCGAACCATCAGTGCCAGGCAGAGATGGGCGGGTGGCACCAGGCCCCGGACACGCCACCCCCCCCTTCATTCACGCCACTCTGCTTATCTACCTCCTCCAGCCCCTCTTCTCTCCTGCCGGGGAGGAGATCAGGGAATGTTCCCTAATTAGCAGGATGGCTTATTCTGCGCCCAAAGCCAGCTCTGCATGACCAGAGGCCCCATGTCTCAGAGTGTGTCTGATAGCCGAGCAGGGTGGCTTTCGTCAGCTGAGGACAGAAGGACAGAAGTCCTAGCTGGACATGCGTAGGTCCATGTCATCCCCTCCAGCACCACTGCCCAGGAGGCCCGTAGGGTATAATTACTGGGTGTTCTCATCAGTGAAAAGGGCAGCCCCTTGGTTCCAATCTGGCGTCTGTGTCCGTTCCTCACCTAGAACGCAAAGGGGTGGCCAGCTCTGACTGACGGCCCCAAACCTCTAGCTCACGATGGTACCAACATCTCCCACCTGTGTCTGGAGGAAGCGCCAGGCCCTTGGCTGTCTGCCACCACGTCCCCGGGGAACAGGCACGCACCTGGGCGGTGGCAAGTGCCACGTCGGGTGCAAGCGCTGTCCAAGCCCCTGGACAAAGGCGGGGCCTGCACACCCACCGTGTTTACCTGGGAATTAAGACCCCAGCCATCTTTAGTGGCAGGATCGGTTCCTGGAAGAAACCCCAGCCGTCCTGAAGCATCGCTCCTCCTCCTGAGCCTCCTCACCAAGAAAGACAGCAGCCACAGATAGAAGGGGCCGAGCGGCAAAGGTTGGACAGGAGCTGGTGACCCACAGAGAGCAGGAAGTCAGGGTTCTGTGGGCTGCAGGGCCCTGGGGCTGGCCTGGGTGTAGAGAAGGGCAAGGGCAGGGCTGAGAGCTCCATGAATGTGTCCTCCCCCCACGCACCGCCTCTTTGTCTTCCCCACCAGTCACCTGCCGCTGAGCCCCAAACACCAACCACCTCCGCATCCGCCTGTCAGGTCCGAGGGCTGAAGTGGAGAAGATTTTCTAGACCGTGCCTCATCCACAGGACTGCCAGACCACCCGGGCCTGGCCCAGACACACCGACACGGAAAAGGTCAAGACAGTGCCCTTCTGGGTCTGATTGCTGCTGCCCCAAGGACAGAAGGAAGGCAGCCTTCTGGAGCCTACACGGCGACTTGTGAGCGTCCTCGACTATAAGCCCAGGAAGGGGAAACGGTGAAAGCAGGCATGCCATGCTTGAGGGGCCACCCTGCACCCCTCAGGCTCCAGCACGAGTCACTCAGCACACGGCCCCTTGTCACTGTCACCATCATCCTTGTCATCACCACCAACCGCTTCGGCACCGCTACGGCCGTGCCCGCAGGACTCAGCAGGCAGAGTGCCCGGGTGAGCCCCGCAGTTAAAGACGGCACAAGGAGACGAGACCAGAGAAAGGGAAGCAGCCTCGTTCCAAGGCGGCTCCGAAGTCCTTAGCTGTCTTCTGATCTCGGTCTCCTCCCACCTGCGTGGCTGGTTTCCAGGGGCTTTTGTCAGAGGGCAGAAGCAACAGGCCATCCCTGGAATGAGCCAGCACCGCCTGTCAGGCCTGAGGGAGCAGCTCAGGCTCCCCAGAGGTGAACGGGGTTGCCCTCCACCCCAGGACACCTCAGGGGACGCACTGCAGTTCCCCTGCAGGGCTGGAGTTAAGACCTAGCTCTGACTCGTGCCGGGGCGGGGTGGGAGGCAGTCCACTCATTTGCGAATACGGTCACTGTCAGCCAAGGGACCAGTGACCGAGTTTCCATACGGAAGGGATCATTCCTGACTTCTGCTTGACCTTGAAGGGAAAACAGGTCAACTGGGGGAACTGGCAGAGACAGAGAAACCGAAGGAGACCCCTAATGGAGGGCTTTGCAAAAAGCCCATCATCATCGTGCTTCGTGAATGAAAAAGCACGCGGGGCAGGCGGGCCGTGAGACACACGAGATTCAACCTCAGAGTTTAAATCCACCACTACCAGGCACGGGACCGGAAGGACGACGTCTGCCACGGCCTGGTAAGGATCAGACGCATCCAATACGTCACACTCCAAAACCACGTGCTGAATACTTCAAAAGATCAAATACGGCAATCGGAGACGAAACAAAACCAAAATTGCCGATGGCTTCGGGACAATTTCAAGAGAAAAGTGATTTTTTAAGGGAAAATAAACAAACAAGAAAAACAGAGCCAATGGTTATACCTCTTCCCATTTCCCATAAGTTGTAAAAAACCTGATAAACTATTAAAAGGAGAAGCATAATAGAGTGTACTTCTCAGCACTCAGGTTTCGTGGACGTGGGGATTTTCAAATTGTTTTCTCCAGGATCAATGTCTTGTCAACACTGAACGTAATTCCCCAACACGTCACCACGGCAAAGAAAGGCTGCTCAGTACGTTTTGTTTGACTTAACTCGAAAATGCGAGACCTTGATACACCTTTTAATGAACTATTGGAAGTAGAACATGGTTTTGCAGATAAATAAATCCTCCAACTTGTCTCCACAGGTTTGAAAGTTCAACAAAGAGGGTCCAAAGCTAAGGCTGGACCAAAACGGCACAGGACACTGCCAAGGCCAAGTTTAGGACAGGGACGCCGGAGACAAACAGGTGGCAGAAGGCTCTTCCAATCAGGCAGCAACAAACACGAAAGGCCTCATCACCGAGGCAAAGGAGGGAAGCCTTCAGCCTTCAGGATGCGCAGGACGGGGTGACCATGCCTCTTCAGTATGCTGAATCTAGCTTCCCTTGGACAAATCAAACATAAGCTGGCAGGAATCAGAGTATGACAGAATATTTTGCATTTCTGAGGGATCTGTGTCGAGACCTTCACGATCCCCGAGCTCACAAGCACCACCACTCAGGTACAGCTGAACAGTGTAGATCATGCTCTGATATCCTGAACGTTCACGATGACAAGAAAGGCATCAGAGAGCTGCTCCTCCTCAAGCATCTGCCTCACACGGTGCTTCTCTCAGTCTTAGCAAAACTGCAATGACCACACGATATGGGATTTCCATTCTCCCGCAGAACCACCACGCGACGGCCTCAAATACGAAGGCCGGTCCGCTATCTAACTCCCCAAACGACCCCCCACCCCGGGGCCACCTGGAGCACACCTCGGGAGCAATCCTGGGATGAACAGGACTTCTCGAGATCTGAGGTTTGAGCTGGGGCTTGCCAAATGTCCGAAGCTGTTTCTGAGGCAGGAGATAGATAATGGCTACAGAAAATTCTGGAAGCTTTTGTAAACTAAGGCTCCGGAGCTTCTCCTCATCTTGGTCCTAATCATATATTCAATGTTTTTAATCACATTAAAGTCTCCTGTTTGGTTTAAATACTTACATCATTTTCTAAAAAATTAAACATGCTTCTTTCAGCCAACTCCTTTGACTCTTCAAATTTTTCTACCGCTTGTCTGACTTCTTCATCTGGTATCTTACCTACTCGCTTCTTTTTATAATCATAATCCAGGCGGCGGCCTTCCAGCTTTTTCAGGTGGTGCTAAACAAGACAAAGGAGTCCTTCAGAGAACTGCACACTCAAAACACGGGGCAAAGAAACCTTTGTTGTTTCCATGAAAATAGCCATTGCTTTTTGTCCGTCTACATTCTAGGGGCAAGGACACATCTTACATGTCTGTGTGTCCTCAGCATCCACTTGAGGCCACCTTTACTGCAGACCCTCAAGGAATATTTTTGGGTGGATGGACGGACGGATGGATGGGAGGGTGAGTGGATAGATGGGTGGGTGGATGGATGGACGGGTGGCTGGGTGGGCAGATGGCTGGATGGATGGGTGGGCGGATGGGCAGGTGGGTGGGTAGGCAGATGGATGGATGGATGGTTGGGCGGGCTGATGGATGGGTGGCTGGGTCGTTGGTTGGGTGGGTGGGTGTGTGGGCAGCTGGGTGAATGGGTGGTTGATTGGGTGGGTGGATGGGTGGGCAGCTGGGCAGATGGAAGATGGGTGGATGGGTGGGTGGATGGATGGTTGATTGGATTGGTAGATGTGTGGGTAGATGTATGGCAGAGTGAATGAGTGTCTACATGGAACATGAGGACACAGCATCAGCACTCAGATTCCATTTCCCAAAGTTCTTTATAGGACCCCTCACTTAAGCTCTATTAATGTCCAGATAATTTCCAACTAAATTAACTACACCAAAAATAAGCACATTTCCTTTGGCACTACTGTCAAGTCCTAAGAGCTAGATTATAAAAGCAGAAATTTCTAGTAGCCCCTAGAATACTTATGCATATCCCATAAAGTTCCCAATTATAGAACACGTTCAATAAATGCCATCGATGAATATGTATACACAGAGGACAAACATTTACAACCTCTGAAAGGTGAGATTTCTTTAAGAAAAAATAGGATCTCTTTAACAAAATGTAACAATTGTAAATATTCGATCTGTCCATTCATGGAATGGGCTGCCTTGTGTGGTAGTAAACTCCCCATCACAGTCTGTGTTCGAGCAGAGGGATCCCATGTCAGAAATGCTAGAGACAGCTCAGCTGTATGGGGCAAGGGAGAAGCCTGGAATCCTTGGAAAACAGGTATTTGCTGTCGAATGTATCCACAAAACCAGACCATCCCACTGAAGTATGCAAGTAACGTTACTATGCATTTTAGTGAACAGCCCTGGTTCTACTTCCATAATGAACTGGCAAAAACAGCATACGGGATAAAAAGCCAGAAGCATCTTTCCTGTATGTTCTGTGACTCTGGGCAAATCTGGCATTCCCTCTGGGCCTCCGTGTATGGTTATAAAACGGGAATGGAGAGGGCCAGCCTGGCTGCTTATGGGCCGAGAAATGTTTGGAATCCATTAACCCTTTACAGGTATAAGTCAGCTGGTCTTAAATGAGCAGGTTCTCCACTCCCGGCGTCTGAAACACAGAAACACAGTGGAGACTGTGAACGGCTTCTGAACAGACTCTGAACTCTTGATCATCGCATGACTGACGTGGAGACTGAAGTGTAGCTTTACAGTGTTTCTGTATCAAACAGCAGCTGAGGAACGAGATGCCCCGTAGGATGTTATTTTGTTGCACAGGGAAGGCCGACACTGAAGTACAGTGTGTTCTGCACGTTTGTCTGGTCCACACTTGGTCTACAGCCAGCTCTCAAGCCATTCCGGTGGAAGAGCTACGCTGCCCAGAGGACTCTAGGTTTTCCTCAAGGACAACAGCACAAGAAGAAACGGCATATTATATATTTCAGCCAAGGGGGTCTCTGATTTGAAGGTTCTGCATTCGGGAAGGCTGTTTTGGTATCCCCAGGTTCCCCAGAATGTCCCTTCTTCCCCAGAGTCATCTGTTCTTTGGTAATTTGCAAGCACAAACCCTGTCCTGGGCCTCGTGGTCCCAGAAGTGAACAAAGCAGGACTCCTCACCCCGAGGCACTTACTGCCCAACAACAGAGGAGTAGAAGCAGGGAGGCTCAAGGCACAGGGGAGCACAGGAGCACCTGATCAAACCAGGAGAGAACCAAGGCTTCCCAAAAAAAAGAGCATCTGAGATCTGAGAGGTGAGTGACTAAGCCAGGAGGGGAGGGGAGGGGGAGAAAGACAAGGAACACAGCAACTGCCCACAGCAAAACATCCCCCCGGGGGCTGCAAGTATTGCAGGGAGGCTGGGCAGCGCTGGGAAGGGGCCATGGGCCAGGCCCCAGAGGGAAGGAGAGGCCAGAGAATCAGGGCTAAGGTGGTGGATCTGTAAGCAGCCACCAGTGGGCAGCTCCGGAGGGTCTCCATCTAAGGCCGCGCTGGGCGTGGTGTGGAGAGTGCGCTGGAAGGGGCAAGGCGTGAAGCCGCGAGTCCAGGGCTGCTGTGCTCAAGCGTCTAGATGTTAATGCAAGAAGCCAAGAGCTAGAAAGGGAAGAACGGAGATTCAGGAGAGAGGACAATGGCCATGGCCATGGCCTCCAGGGCCCAGTGGAGGCCTGGCTTCAGAGGGCAGGAGGGACACTGTTTCCCCGACATGGACGGGAAAGAGGATCCGGCGAGTGAGGGGTGAAAGGCATACTAGGGGGCAGGGTTGCTGAATGTTCCGGGAGTCCCTGAATGGTTGCTTCTGGTTTTCATTCAACCTCCCTGAAGTCCCCTCCACACCCTCTGGTTTCCGTGCAGATTCTAATGCCCATACAGGCATCTAGGACTTTCTGTTTGGGAAATCTGGAAGACGGCTCAAGCATTTGCCTTTGTCACATGTGATGCTGATGCTGCTGGTCCAGGGGTCTCCCCACAAGAACTCTTGGGCCTGAAGAAAGGAAAGGGGACATCTCCCAGGTTCAAATGACTTCCAAGCTGGCCCGGGCTTGCATTCGGATCACTCTTGAAGGCGCCTGGAGGCAGGTCCTCGGAGCAGCTCCCTAAGAGCATCAGAAGTCAGCACAGGCTGCCCCTCCAGAGTAGAAGTCACGGCGGGGTAGAACTCTCAAGTCTGTTTTTGCACATATACAAAAACACCATCAAGCAAGTGGCATGTGATCACCGACAGGTCCCTAAGAGGTCCCATGTGTGCTCTCCAAGGCCATTGCTAACAGTTTTCCAAATGTAAAATGTCAATTCCCAGATACTGATTTCCTTGAGAAGCAGTGAAAAATCATGACTACAGGTCTGGTGCAAAATATCAAGAGATAGGACTACTACGGTATGATTTTGATTAGAAAAATTCTACGATGGAGTTATGGAGTCATTTTGTTAGGTGAGAAATGGCTGTGGAAATATGCATCTTTCATCTTGGCTTTCAGGTAGCTGGCTTCAATAAGATACAGAAGAAAGGGCTAAGAGGTTCTGGGTCTGTTTCCCAGTGAGCCAGGTAAATATGGATTATTCTTCGAGCACCCATAATAAGATGATGCTTTCACTGAATCCTTACAGAAGCATTCTAATGATTTTAAATATAGACATCATTTTAAGGAGCAACGGGTAGATTTATAGCCTGGAAGACTTACCCCAATCTCTTTTAGATCTTTGTCTTGGAGTAACTGAAGTGGGTCAATAAAAGTTTGCTTTACGTTAATATCAAGAGAGTCTTTCACCTCAGCCATTAGCTTCATGGATTCCCCAACTTCTATCAATGCATTGCCTTGAATAGAAAATGCAAATAAAAAAAGTTTCTTTAGCAGAGTCCTCGAGGATAATGGTGGTATTTATTTATTTCCTTCCCAAAAGTTTGGGGATGACGGTGCAAAAAGGTCCTCCCCCTGGGACTGGTGAATCCTGACTCAGAAAAAAAAAAAGAAGAAGAAAGAGAGAAAGTGTCCTTATGGTCCGTATTTTCCTCTACCCTCTGTACTCTCTCCACTATATAAAATAAAGGTTGGAGGCTGAGAGAGACCGAAGCATTTCCCACTTTGGCCACTAGATGGGGATAAAGCTCCTCTTTAAAAACTAGTACAGGTATCCCCTGCTTTTCGAAAGTTCACGCTGAACCCCAATCACCTTTACAAAAGACCTACATTAGTCCTTGGTCTTGCTAACTGAAAAAAATCCAAAGAGGATTGTTGCTTTCACTAAAAAAAAAAAAAAAGGGCAAGAAGAGAATAACATTCTGCCTTTGTTTTGCAGCAAGTTATTAGAGAGGCGATGTGTACCCCAAGTCATGAGAACAGCACACAGCACCCCAGCATCCAGCTGCCACGGCTTTGAGTTGTGTCTGTGAACATCTGTGCTTTGCCTCGATTTATTCTGTGCATGCACAAGCAGGATTAAGGTATGAGAAAAGCCTAGGAGAGGTTATTCTGGGGTCTGGTAACACCCCCCAATTTTTCCACATAAATTAATAGTAATTTCTTCTTTGCTTTACACCATTTTGGTTTACAAAAGGCCTCGTAGGAATGCTCCACTTTCGGAGAGCAGGAAAATCTCCAGTTTTGTGAACTGGCACCTAGGGTTCCTTAGAAGTTCGAGAACAAAATCCTTCTTTGTAAACTATAAAAGGATTCATTCATCAGGGCTAAGTATCAACCAAGAAAGGTTACAATAGAAATAAATGAAAAAAACCTCCTGTCGGCTTCTAGCTACTAGATCTTGAGGTCACTCCCCATCTCCTTCAGATGGCTCTAAGGCTCCTGACCCTTTCTGATGTCAAAGAAAGCCTGGCAGGGTCACATGGGACAGCCTTTCAGCAGGATGGGCAAGGTTTGCTCCTGAAATGAGGCGCGGGCCAGCCACGCTCGGGCTTGGGCAGTGCTCGGCAGCTCTTGCTAGATTAAGCCCTGGTATCTCAGTGCCAGCTAATCCACAGGAATTTGCAAGCGGGAGTCCTGGTGGCTGAGCAGAATGAGGGTTGCAGTTTCTCTCGAAGAATCTCTGGGACGTGATGCACCAGACCAAACTATGTTTCCTGTATCGGAGTTTTCCAAATTGACCTCATAAACACGTAGAGCATGGCGTCTCTCAACTCTTAGGCTAGAAAAAGACCTTAAGAGGCAGCCCAAGAATCTGCATTTCTAGTAAATTCTGACCTTCAAGTTGTTGCACCTACTAGTCCAGCCATGCACAGTTTATTCACCTGCAAAAGAGCGACAGCAATGAAGACTCACCTCACTTTTTTTAAAATAAACTAGATAGTGCATGGTATAGGACCTTGCAAAATAGAAGTGGAAACTCTTACTCTAAACTATGGCTGGCCAGGACTCCATTTTGACCCACTGGTAGCTTCATTCCTCCTAAATGTCCTTAACTCACTCTCAAGAGTCTAAATCATTCCAAGATAAAGATGAGACATCCCTTCCCAGCCTGGGGACTCTTTCCTGCCCAACCGATCAGAAACGGAAGCTACTGTTTCTGACCCCTCTGCCACCAGGACCCACGCCCCGAAATGTCAAATTCGACTTTGACAGACACATTTCCAAATATTTCCCTGGAGAGTCCAAAAATTAATGCTGAATATTGGCCATCACCTCCATGGACCTCACATTCCTCCCCCTTGCTCAGGCTTGGTGCTACGGATTCCACAAGGGCGTGGGGCTCAGCCTCCACCCACTGAGGCTTCTGCACTTCAAGAAGGTTCTACCATGTGGCCCCGAAAGGAAAGCATCCGACAGTACAGTCTCTTCCTCAGAACAGCAAGCAACCTATCCACTCCCGACGCCCCTGACACTAGCTCTCCTCCTTAACACAAGTTCCCTTCGTACCTAGGGACCTGGGAAGCCATCAAACTGTCTGCCCATCCAGGCCCCTGCCCAGTCACCATGTGCACTGCAGGACTGGCCTTGGCTATGAGGGCCTGCCTGGCACCCTCACCGGTCCCCTCAACGGGCCTGCCTTCAGGACAAGGAATAGGCCATCTTGTCCACATTCACCCATGGAATAAAATAAAATTCACCTTCTATTGCTCTGAAAGATACTGTTACCCCCTGTGACTAATGAGTGTTTTAGCAGGGAGTCTGCTTGAGGATTCTCTCTCCTTCTCCCTCTGCACCCCGCCCCCATTCCACACTAAGTAAATAAATAAATGTTTAAAAAAAAAAAAAAAAGGCAGCATTGTGCACCACCTCGGCTGGGCAGGAGGCGCTCGCCGCTAATCCAGGCGCTGCGCACACTCACCGAACGCGGAGCCCTCGCCCAGCTCCTTCCCGAACTTCAGCATACAGTCGCCCAGCAAGCCTTCCGTCTGCGGGTAGCCGGTGGTTTTCACCTGTCCTCGAATCTTCGACACAGTGTTCAGCATTCCTAGCTTAGCTCTGTATGCTTAAAAACATTGTCATTTGTAATTCCTTAAAATGACAAGGCAGAGCCACAGGTCCGTCGCATTGAACAAATGACGGCAAAAGAGAGGCCACCTGGCACACAACTTGAGGGAGGCCTGGAGCGAGGGACAGGGCCGGGTGTGACCGATCCCATCTCTCACAGGATTTCCTAGACTCTTTTACCCAGGGCGGGGGCGGGGGGGTTGCTAAGCGCATCTCTGCACAGCGAGGATGGAACGCAGAGACGGTGCACGCTCCGTGGACTGCAAACACAGGACCTGGGCTACCCCAGCCCACGTGCAGGGTGAGATACTGAGAGGCCTGCCGTTGCCCACACCCCGAGTCAGGTGCGGACACCTGGGCAGGCGCTCCTTCCCGGGGCCCAACGGATCACTAAGAACAGAACTGCTGAGGTGGATGTTTCAAACCACCATCCAGCCGTGAACACCCTCCCCATGCCCCAAGAATGTATTCCGTCTGATTGTATCCAGTGTCGTGATGAAGGGCTGCTCATTCCTCTTAGGAAGCAGAGCCAATGGGAGGAAACGGATCCCCCCACCCCCACCCCCGAGGGAACATGAGTCTGTGTGTGGATGGTCCCTTAGGGAAATAATGGGCGGCCACGCTCTTCTCTCCGACTCAGGCAAGGAGTGTTTACTGATCCCGGCTCTGTGGGACGGCCCATGCCAAGTACTGGGGCTCCAGAGAGACCCAGGCCGCATCGGCCCTAATGGAGCTCAGGGTCTAGGTACTACTAAGGCAGAATATACCAGATGTACTTTGCAGATAAAGTTGGGGATGATGTCGGAAAAATGAAACCATAGCAATATTGCTAGATAAGGCTGGAAAGACACCCCTAAAAAGGCAGAAGTCTTATCAATAAAGTATGGAAGAGGGAATGCTTATGGTCTATAACCAACAGATAAAGAGTAGGCAGGCTTGACCTAAACAAAAATTAAAACAGGACAAATCAGGAGATATCTATGGGAAAATGTGACTATGAACTGAATCCCAAGCTAAGGATTTGGGATTTTATTCTACAGGCCAGACAGTGAATCACATACTAGCTTGTGGTGTTTGAGATAACTTTAGGAAGTAATGGGATAGACTTTTATTTTCTTTGACTTTAATAATTCCATGTTTGTTTTCAGGTATTCTAGACCAGTGCCTCTCAAACTGTAATGCGCATACAAATCACCCAAGGATCCTGTTAAGATGCAAAGGCTGATTCAGGCAGTTTGGGATGAGCCCAAGATTCTGCATTTCCCACAGTCTCTCAGGTAATGCTGGTCCTGCTTTAGACATTCCCCTGTGCTGGCCTTTCTGAATCTTGCCCACCTCAGCTTCAAAGCAGTTTTCCTCCTGGTCCCTGCACAGAAGCTTCACTCTCCTACAACCCCCCCCACACACACACACACATACACACACTCGGTTCCTCCTTCCCACTGTCAGGGTAGAAACTGGGAGGCAGCAGGCATGTGACTGACAGCCATTAAACTGGAAATAACCAGAGGCCTCCGTCCGAGGGGACACTTCCATTGTTGGCCCACCCCATTCCTAACCCCTTCCAATGTCAGTTCTTTGAGGATGGGATCTTGGTCCAACTTCGCAGCATCCCAGGATCCAGGAAAACCCCTCGCCAAGAGTAAGCTCTTGCTGAGTATGTGCTGACTGATTTATCAGGAAAAGGAACTTACGTGGCTCATCTCAACCATTAAGGAGGCCAGGGAAGAGATGTTATTTATTATAGTTCTTAAAATTCTAATCATCTATACAATTCTAAAGACTTCTACATCCACCAACCTCCCTGGACATAATTTTTATAAAATTTATGTTTTTTAATTTCTACTGCCTAGATTCTTGGATGGTTGGGTCTGTGCTGATTCTACAGCCAAGGGAATCACAGTCACTATGTGCAAATACTAAATTCCTAAAAAGGAAAGGCAGTTTTGGAGCTGCACAGAATTCAAGGCTTGGATGCTCTGCCCCTTGTCGGTTTCTGTCCTTCACAACCCAGGAAAAAGTCATCAAGGGGTATTGCTTCCCGACCTCGGAATTAAAATCCTACTGTGGAAGCAATTTCAAGTGAATATATCCTTTTGAGCAGGATGACAGAATTTTTTTTCTAAAAGAGGAGATTCCTCAGTAAGAAAACATATACAAAACGCTTAGTGGCTCTCTCTGAAGCATCTCCTAAAAAATGTCTGCTTAGCAGTGCCTTGCGGCTGAGCCCAAGCCTCCATCCAAATGACGTCACTGTAGTTCACAGAACTGTCTACTAGAATTCACCGAAACTACCTCCGGTCCCTGGAGGCTTGACTTTAAAAAAACTGAATTTTATTATGTGGATGCAAAAGACGTTGTTTCTAAATTATGTGAGCCATGTGTCAAGTAAACATGGATTAGTGATCTGTGACAGTGAAAGAAGAAGAGACTATTTCACGACATTTTTTAACTTTACCTGGATTTGGCTGAAGATATTCTGTGGCTTTCGAAATAATTTCTGCAACAGCTTTATTGGTAATGTCTATTTTCTTTAAAAGAAAAACACATAAAAATGTTGGTAAATGACACTGAATTCACAGAAAAAGAAAAGTAATATGCATTAATTTAATACACATTATTATGGTGATTTTAACCTAAATGAATTTCAGCATTTTGGGGGAGAAGCAATTAATTTCTCACTCTGATTTTGGGACAGCTCTTTCTCCCCATGATGATGGAGAACATTCATTTCTTTTCCTTTTTAACATTAAAGTGAGTATTCATATAATATTTAGAAAACTTGGACAAGTCATTACGCTCCTCTAGATTACTAGATATACTTGAAGGTCTCTCAAGCCAACACTAGGCATGTCTGAGCCAAACTTTCCTTATCTGCTGGGTCAACTTGATGTCTATACCACATAAGGATGCCCTAATAATGATTCACATTAGAAACTACCACAGTAAATCAACACATGAATCATTCTCACTAGCATATCACTAACATAAACACCCATGTGTTCTGTCTGCCACGTTAAGACTGAATCTTTCCTTCCACAAAACCATTCCTGGACACTGGCTGCTGGTTAGCCAGATACCGAATGTGAGAGTAGACAATAAAGTTAAATATGCACATTGCAATAGCTTTATTTCATACCATCAATAACCTGAAAGAAAATATAAAGGAAAAGGAGATCTCATTCATAAGAGCAATTTAAAAATACACAACAAGAAGGAATAAATGTAATGAGAAACGTACAATATCTATTTCAAAAACCATTTCCTAAATGGGTAAGTTTAATTGTACAAAGATGTAAATCCTCCTCCCAAATTAACATGTAAAATTAATTCAAATCTCATCTCAATTTTAATTTTTTTTTTGTTACAACTTGGCAAATAATAAAGTTAGGTTCATGCCTCACACTACATACTGGATTACAAATATAGACCTAAAAACAAATTGTAAAGGTACTAAATTATTCAGGAGCATATTTTGAAATATGGGTATGGGAAGACTCTCCTAAGCATGACCCAAAATCCAAATGTCATAAGTGAAAAGACCAAAATTCTGACCCTATAAAATTAAAGACTGAACAGTGAAAAGACATGGTACATGAAGTTCGACAAAAGTGGCAAAATGAAAGAGAAAGAAAACTGTACAAGGGACACGTGCTTAGTATCCATAATACACAGAACTCCCATTTAAAAAACAAAAAAAAATTTAAAAAGTCAACCCGACTAGAAGGGACAAGAACATAAACTGGCAATCCACAAACGGGGAAAAATACAAGTTCAAACACTGGACAAAATAGTCAGAAAAAATGTAAATTAAAAAGGAGATACTTTCCGCTCACCAGATTGACCCCCCAATTTTTTTTAATTGATTTGACCCAGTATTAGGTATTATACAGATGTGGAGGAATGGGCCCTTTCACACACAGAGTGCAAAACAGATACAACTTCTGGAGATCAAGGTAAAGGACCTACGAATGGGCCTATTAGTGCCACTCTCAGACTTCCAGGAATTTATCATCTGGAAACACGCCAGCAATGTGCAAAGATGTAAAAGGATGTCAGACCATTTTATGTCGTATTAAAAATTGAAACCAACGTGAATGATAAGCAATAAGAGACTGACTGGACAAATCGTGAAACATCCAAATAAAGGAATACTCTTAAATCATCAGAGAGAAAATACAAGGAAGCTCCGTATGTACTGGGAAGATGCCCATAGCGCATTGTCAGGGAAAGAAAGAAAGTCGTAGAGTGATTTGTAATACAAGAAATTCATTTTCGTAATTGAAAAAAACAACGATCTGGTCAGGGTCAGAAGCTTTCAACCAAGCTAGCTCAACCAGCCTGAAACTGTATGTGTTCCCCTTAGCTGAATGCCTAAACTCAGGGCCCCAGGGAGGTTTAAACGACAGTACGTATATGATGAAGCAATGAATCACACCCGTATTACTGATGCCCACGTGCAGCTGTGTGCGAGGCGTGTGTGGGTAAGTGCACCTGGCCTTGTAAGAGGTTTTGTAAGGTTTGAACTCTCTTCATTGTGTTTGACTGTTTATGAAGATCGTTGAAATGTTTAAGAGAATAGGATCACCTAAATGTTTATGTTTTACTAGAGTTTCAAGAAATTTAAGTACTTAGGAAAACTTTGCTTTAAATTTGATGTGACGCTGGAGCGAATTCCATACGTCGCATTTGTGATTCTAGACATTTGAAATGTCTAAGGGAATCTGCTTAATTATGTAACTGGAGATAAATGTTTAAGGATTTGATCTGTTAAGCCTATGACTTAAGGGAACCTAAAATGAAGATTAACTGAAAATGATCATCGTTTTTACACCAAAATTACTAAATTTATAAATAAGATTCAGCAGTTCAGTTTAAGCTAAAGAAAAACTAGGTTTTAGATTTTAAACTTTCCTAAGTTTCATATTAATTGAGACACAGCTTAGAGTGTTCCTTTCCACGTATCCAACCTTCCTTAGACATGGAAAGCCACCAGGAAGCTAGGCATCATCTCTGAAGGGTGACAGTGAGATCTGTGGCAGGGGTACTTTCTACTTTAGATCCTTCTCTATCTTTTGGGGGGAAAAGCCAAGAGACAAATGGCCAAAACTCACAGCCTAGTGTGCACAGACTAGAGCAGCTTCCATAACATCCCCAGCAATTGAAACTGGGAATCAACCCTTTACAAAATGAAGGAGATGCCCACCATGTTGTCAGATATGGGCAATCAAGATCAACACTGAAAAAATAACCAATATAGGGGCACCTGGGTGGCTCAGATGGTTAAGCGTCTGCCTTCGGCTCAGGTCATGATCCTGGGGTCCTGGGATCGAGCCCCACATCGGGCTCCT